GAGTAGAGCGGTGCAAGGCTTGTAGTTGACTCTAATAGAGGAGACTGACGCAGCTAGATAGACCGCTGGTTAATCAGTAAAAAGAAAAACCCAGTCCATCATGATAGGAAAAAAAATCCCGATAGCGAAAAAGCTACATATATGCCCCATCATAGGTTTTGTAGCTTCACACTTTTTATCCCAGGCATATAAAAATCTGATAACAAGAAAAAACTCACATGGAGTAGATGTGATTACTGATTACATTATTAATCTTCCAAGAGTTCAATTCCTCATTAATTAGTACGTCCAGGACTGAATACAAAACACTGCATCATATCTTTGTCATATTTTGCCTAATGGTTCGTTTAAATTAAAATAATGAAGCGATATTGATTAGTGTAAAATAGTTTTGAATATTAATACTATTTTTTATTATTTCACTTCTTTTTATGATATATAGTAGTTTAATATATGATTTATATGTTTATTTCACCCGCTAAGTTCCTATTTAGAATTAAGGAACATGAAAGTTTAACATATTCAAACATTATCAATAAACAATACTTACAAAAATAATGCTCTCTCTCTCTCTCTCTCTCTCTCTCTCTCTCTCCCCCTTATCACACATTATAAAAATATATTATTTCGATTCTTAAATAAGTGATGATAAAGTTGAAAAATTGTGGTAAATATTATAAATTGACATTTAATTTAAAAAGAATGTAGTGTATATTATTTGAGTTAAAATTTACTAATCCTTAATTACATTAAAATATTATTTTTCATATTATAATTATTTTGTCTCTAATATAATAATTCGTATGATAGCTCGACACCAGTTGATTTATCATTATAATTTATAACAGTAACATTGCAAATATTTTGTTTTTCAAAACTTACAATTTACATCGTTGTTCGACAAATGACTTGTTGGTTATCATTATAATTTATAGGCTTAATTGCTAATAAATTCATGACTTTTTCGAAAATTGCAATTATATGCATCACTTTTAAACTTGGCAAATATATACACAACTTTTATAATTTTTGGCAATTGTATGCACCGGGCCCAATTTCGGGCTTTGACTGCTGGCATGGCTGCTGAGTTTAAAAGTGATGCATATAATTGCAACTTTCGAAAATGTCATGGTTTTATTAGCAATTAAGCCAATAAAATATTTATTTGATTTTATTTTACTATTTATTTTATTATATTTTCTATCTTATATTATATTATCTCATAAGATAATAAATATAAGATAATGAATATTTATTATATTATAATAATAATATAATGTAATACATTATATTTTCGAACTTGTGAATATATGGATGCTACGTATTAATAAATACAATCAAATTTTGAGGATAATGTAAATTATATTAATAAGATATAAACTTATAATAATTAAAAAATAATAAAATAAATTATATAATA